TGGACTGGTTGCCAGCCAATCATAGGGCACATTTGGCGTCTTCAGTGAAATATGAGGATGAGAAGAACAACCAAGTGCCACAGAGGAAGGCCTAACCCAAAATTCAAACTCAAAACTTGTGTGAGAAAGATGTGCAAACCACTACAAGAGCACCTTGGCCACATTGGGGAATTCGCACATATGGCAATAACCCGGTAAAATGTTTTTGCCAGGCTGGATGCTTGTGTAAAATGTAAGTTTTTGCCCAGGTTGAGATGCTCAAAAAGGCCTTCATTTTTCTTTGCAAACAACTTTCAATAACTTTTCATCTTAAACATATTTAGATGAAACATCCAAACTTTAAACACAAATGGATAAATTGTCTCGGAGGAATATTTTGAACTCTAAAAAAAAGCCCCAAAAAATTGTGCCAAATTACGTATAATCAAAATGGCGGACTTCCAGTTAGGTGTAGCATGAGGCTCTAAAAGATTATTTGAAGGTTACAGATAGCTCCCAATTTTCATATAACCTGGGGTGCATTGTTGAAAATGTATAGAGGGCACTACTGAAGCATTTAAAAGAAATTGCACTATAAAACCCTAAAAAATATTGATTTTTCCAGGCCTGATGTCTGTGCAGCATGAGTTTTCCGTCCAAGATTAGAGTCGACAAAAACTGCATCCTTTTTCTTTGCAAACAGCGCATCAACCGCGCCCGATGAAATAAAAAGCTTTCAAGAACTTCTCTAGCAGGAGTTTGTTAAAACATGACCTTTATAAAAGATGCAAAATGGGTCATAGTTCCCAAGCAAAGTCAAAATGGCGGACTTCGGGTTACGTTGATCAAACAGCATATATTTTTGTTGGTCTTGGGCTATTACATCGGCCTGCCAATTTTTTGAGATCTAGGTGAAATAACAACTGAGAAGTAACTATATGATTATTGCTTTGGCACAACGGGGTGGGGTCTTGATACCAAGCAGAGACCTTGAACCGAGGGGAGAAGTTTAATTTATTCAGGCCATAGCCTTGTTTCGAAGAAAAAAAAGTGCCTTGCTGCTATGTTGTGGCATCTACAGTTTCGGCAATTAAGAAACCTTTGTAAGTGGGCATCAATTATTCACAGATTTTTGCTATTTGCAGCAGGGCTCAGTCGCAAATTCTCATTAATAAGAAGCTGGTGTTCACCGTATTGAGATTTATTATGAAAAAAAAAAGTCTTAATATGTGAACATAACCCAACAAATTGATTGAAATATCAAATCTGCCAAACATATAAGGTTCTTATTCCTCAAAATCATGCTTCTTCTTGCCAAAAAAAAACAAAAAAACACTCCTACCAATTTAAAAAAAAAATGTTCTTCACCTTTTACCTCAGCCACAAGAAATTCTTTTTCAGTGCTTATTAAAGCCAGATTGGTGAGTCGGCCCGGTGACATTGAAGAACTGAGATATGTTTTATTAGTTTCAGTGTTGAAAATGACCTTTCACAACTTAAAAAAAAAAAAAAGTGGTTTATCCATCTGCAACAGGGCTTAGATCCTACCGATGACATGAGCTATAATATCATATATGAGCCACTATGATGAGGTTTAAAGTACATGCAGTGCACTGATTTGGGTTGTGTGGAATATTTTTTTATTTTTTTTTAAATCTTAATATTTTAGTCTTTATAGTGGATTTGGGGCTTACCGTAGCGCAGGGGTCTCCAGCTCCTTCTCGGGGACTGATTCATGCGGTGGGCTACCAGTTTGATACACACTTCTGATATAAGAAATATTATCAATTTACCATGAATAATGTTATTATCATCTATTTTTATTCATAGTTAATGATATACATTATTGTGATTTCTCAAAATAGTGAGGAAATAGCTAAATATCAATACGAAACACTTTTATTCAATACTGACATGAGTGCTTTTCAAAATATTTTTGATAATGATTGCAAATGGCTCAATGAATCAATTCCCAAAATGATTGAGAGGGATTTCCCCGTGATGGTGTCGTGTTTCTGAAGAAAATACCAGAAGGTCCACCATGCACGTCCGCGGAGCGCCGAATCGATCTGCCCGCGCCTTGATTAAACAGAATCGGGTTCAACCACCTGTGCAATAATTTCACCCGTTGGAAAGTTATTCACTGACATCACTCATGAAGTAAGAGAATTAACTTACATGCACAAAACATTGAAGAAAAGATAAGTTATGCGACATCTGCTTGTTGCTTTTAAATGATTGATGCATCGAGCTGAGGCGATGGACTGTGACTGTTCGCATATGACGTGCGCACGGGCAGCGGGGGCCCAGAGGGGCACCATTTTCTCTGGACGGCTAACCACTGCCTCTGTTGTATGGTGAGCTTCCAGATTGAATTTGATCATGTATGCTGGAATTTGGAAATCAGGACTTTATATTGTTCCTTGATTGGAAATGCCCACCCCACATTTGGATGTCATGTACCGGATATGAAGTGGAACAACTTGATAAGAAGACCCCATATTAAAAGACATTTGAATGACAAGGAAATGGATCGACTTTAAAGTATTGGTTTTTAAAATCGGATTTTTACCCACCCTGACCACAGCAAATTCTCATCCCCTTACCTGTCAACACTCAGAGCACACAGGCTCAGCACGATAACTCCAACTTTTCTGGATGAAGGGCACCGGCTTGCACAGCACTGACCCAAAGGGCCAATCTTTCGCCATGAGCTACATATGAGAGAAAAACACACACACACACACACACACACACACAGGTTCAACCACCTGTGCAATAATTTCACCCGTTGGAAAGTTATTCACTGACATCACTCATGAAGTAAGAGAATTAACTTACATGCACAAAACATTGAAGAAAAGATAAGTTATGCGACATCTGCTTGTTGCTTTTAAATGATTGATGCATCGAGCTGAGGCGATGGACTGTGACTGTTCGCATATGACGTGCGCACGGGCAGCGGGGGCCCAGAGGGGCACCATTTTCTCTGGACGGCTAACCACTGCCTCTGTTGTATGGTGAGCTTCCAGATTGAATTTGATCATGTATGCTGGAATTTGGAAATCAGGACTTTATATTGTTCCTTGATTGGAAATGCCCACCCCACATTTGGATGTCATGTACCGGATATGAAGTGGAACAACTTGATAAGAAGACCCCATATTAAAAGACATTTGAATGACAAGGAAATGGATCGACTTTAAAGTATTGGTTTTTAAAATCGGATTTTTACCCACCCTGACCACAGCAAATTCTCATCCCCTTACCTGTCAACACTCAGAGCACACAGGCTCAGCACGATAACTCCAACTTTTCTGGATGAAGGGCACCGGCTTGCACAGCACTGACCCAAAGGGCCAATCTTTCGCCATGAGCTACATATGAGAGAAAAACACACACACACACACACACACACACACACACGCACACAGACACACGTTCGCTGTAATAACAATCAATTTAAGATAAGCCCGAAATGAATAGAACGTGTGTGAAGACGGCCGATAAGGCGTCGCATTACCTCGGCCTTGTAATTACGTGTCGCGGGGCAAATAACTCAGCCTGTAGGTGTTGACTGGGATGTCCACCACAATGTGGACCAGGTCTCCCAAAGCCAGACTTGCAATCAAGACGTCAGCACTGCTCCTGTGAATGATCCTCAGCAGTACTGAATTTCCCACAATTCCCAGCACCCCCCAAAAAAACAAACAAACACGAAGACGGCTGGAGAGAGATACTAGAATGTATCCCCGAGTAGGGGCACATAGGAAGGAGTCTCGCAGAGATATTGGATCTGTAGTTGTCCATCTCTGAGAGGTGTGCACCGGCGGCTGGCTGGGAATGCTGATCGCCGGCCTCGCCGCTAATGAGAACATTTCCCAGACAAAGAAGCAGAGCGACAGCTCACATTGACTGCGGTTTCTTCAAAAAAGGGCCCTCGGATGTGCTTGCCAGCGCTGGGTTAGGAACGAGAGTAATTAGCATCAGAGCTGCTGGGAGTTTGGCAGCAAAGTAACTTGATACAGTGATCAAAAGGCAATTATAATTATGAATTGTCCTAGTTTACCTTTTGATCAGAAATGCCGCACGGTTTGGCCACTCGAGCCGTTGCCTTATGCGCGCCCGCAGTAAATACTGCAGCTCGGGCCGTCGGAAGGTTTTATAGACGAAGATGCCGTTGTCGTCATTACTCATCAGTCTGTCAGCGGTGACTGTAATTACTGGCCTATGATGCATCACCTTCAATAAAAGGACACCGTTGAAGTGTCCTGTTGTTAAGAGTGAGATCACGTTACGGCTTTTTTGCAGGTGTGCTGTGCTACATTGGTGAAATGACTTAAAAAAAAAAAGTAAACATCGTCTCTTGGGGCAACAACATCATGGCATCTTACGGAAACACTGTCATCTGGTAAGAGTGGATACCTTCAATCACATCTGATGCAGACATCTGGAAACACAAAATAGGCGAGCGGAGGGCGTGTTCACACTTGACAGGCTCATTTCCTTTGTTTTGTTCCAAGTGCTAACAGCCTCTTTTTTTTCTTTTTTTTTTTGTAGAATTGTTCACAATCTGCCAAACCGCTGCTAGTTGTGATGTGAACAGAGTAGAATTCACCGCCACCATATATTGCTTGTATCGCAAATATTAGCTCACAAGTCAAGTCAAAACCTAAAAAAAAATCAAAATAAATTCAATAATTTGCCTCACTTGCGTCCCAAGGCACCACTGTATGGCATGATTATATCATTTTACATCATAGTTTTTGACCAGCTGAGATGTCACGAAAAGCTTTTAACATACCTATCAACTTGTACGTTTTTCCCGTATTTTATGTTTTTTTATCATTTCAAATCACGAACGGCGTATTACAACGTTTATACGGGAAAAAAAATTGTGAGCCGATCTCACACAGATTATTTTGGCTCAAATCCAGATCGTCTCACCTGCTGGTAGCCAACGACAATGCCGTCGTCGATCGCTACTATTGTCACTGCAAACCAGCAAAAGTAATCCTCAATCGTATATTTTTTTTTCATCGCTGCGTACGGTCGGATTGAGTAAGCATGATGTGCACATGCGCGGTAAGCCGTTGTGCGGGTTTTCGTTGCTTTGTAAGGCGAATCGTAATCATTTATAAGGGCAGCTATTAGCCGAGGTTGACAGGTATGTTTTAAAATGCTTGCCTTTGTACGGAAGCACCGCGCAGGCGACAGCTCCGATGCTAAATTTTAAAAAAGCAGGCTGTGCAAGATCGACTCTAACTTCTTCTTTTGAAGGCGATAATTCAAAAGTCAATTACGACTGTTTAAAGGTGGACACAAAGATCCATGGAAGACACCATGCCAAAATCAATGTGTTTCGCTCTTAAATGGGCTTCGTTTACTGCTTCTTTTGTCCACGTCAGGTAATCAACAAGAAATTAGTCGCACGTGATTCTTCGGCCCCGTTTCCATGGCAGAAAGCCTTCTTGTAAAGCAACAATCCGACACATGAGGCTTAGGACTGCGGGGTTTGCCAGATTTAAAATGTTTCTCCTTTTATTTTAATATTTCAAGTCGCTAACTGCAGCTCGCTGGAGTTTTGAGGATCAATAATCCACTCCGCTTTACTGCATTGTGCACTGTGTACATTCATTTCAAACGATGTATATGATAATTGAAAGAACGCAATAGCATAAATATCATTTAATGTCATCAATTAAAAAAAACATTAATAAAGCCATTTCATATATTTTGGCGAGTCTTTGAATATGCTGTACCAAAAATGATACACTGTGGTTATCCACCCTCATTATTATTTTGCAAAGTTTTTTTCATACAGCTCTTTTCTTGGATGGTGGTCCAGATGCGCTGCGGATGCACTCGCCGTGAAAAGGCTGCAGCTGCTGGACATTGTGTCTGGGCTGTTATGCCCCATCCGAGGCCCACCTCCCCAACCACATTGCAAGTATTGAGTCGTGCTGTTTATGTCTCCGATTCATGTGGCTGTCAGAAGACCCGCCCCCTCCCAAACACCAAACCCATACTGCGCTATGACGTTCATCTTGTCTTCTTATTAGTTGAAATAGGTTGAAGGTTTCTTTTTTTTTCCACACAATGGTCTTTTTTTTTTTGTGAGAAAAAAAAAGACCATTGTCTGAAAGAAAGAAACCTTAAATGTATTTGTGCTCCTCTCTATGGGATCAAAGCTCGCAATTGCTTCCCCCTCAATTCCCCTTATGTCTTTTTCACCTCAGCAAAACACGGGCCACCCTAACTGCGACTCATCACGCCTCGCCGTTACGGCTCCCTCAGTGGGTCATTGTCTATTTATTATTATTATTATTATTATTATTTATGTCTCTTGGACAGCTTGCATTCTTAAGTGATTTTTTTATTTTTTTTGCTCTGTACTTGTGCAAGTGCAATGATAATACATTTCATTCATTCATTGGATTATCCGGGTGTTGTTAATGTTTTGGCCGTTCCTTATACAATAGCTGGATACCATTGGTCCCCAATCACAGGTCTACGGATACAAACCAAAATGTATTTTATCAACACACACACAAACAAAACCCTCGTCAAGTGTTTGGCGGTCCAATTGTTGATTTCCAAAAATGTCTGCAAGCAACTAGGCGGTAAATGTTCGTCAGCGCCTCCAGACCCGCATGTTTTAGTTGTCGTTTTGTTTATTTTGTATTGTTACCTTTTAAACTGAGCCCTTATATTGGATGTCATTGGATTGTGCAAGCGTTCTTAATGTTGTGGTGGGCAAGTGCACAGAAGGTTGCTGGCTGTACCACGGCAGACAAGCTACAGCGCCCCGGAGGTACAATAGATGCGCAGTGAACAGAAACATTCCATTGTTAATTGCATCCCGTCTCCCTTTTGAAAACTCCAACTTGTATTCGGCCGGCGAGGAATGACCTTGGCAAGGAAAGTATTGGCGCGCTTCCATGAAAACAAGCGATTACGGCAGAGGAATTGCTTGAGTTGACTGCACGAGCGTATGAAGAGTGTTCTCAGTTAGGCGGCTGACATACAATGTTATTGCGAATGTTTTTCTATATAGGTCACCGGAGAGCGCCAAGACACTTCACGGCCTATTAAAAAAAAAAAAAAGCGAAAAGAAACAAAGCTGCAAGGAACATTTTCCGGCCTATAAGAGTAATAAAAAAGAATAAAGCAATCCCCTGTGATTCCACATTAAGCCTTTAAAGTGTTTTTATCATTGACCTGAATTGTTCCGCTTAAATCTCTCTTGTTTGTGTTTTAAGTACATTTATGATGTCGGCTGCACGATGGCCCTAAAGAGGCATCCTCCGGCCTCTCTTTCTATCACACCAATAGCTTGTTCACCATTTGAAACGAGTGGAAGGGACCCCCGTCCATGCGCATGCGCTTGTCTTTGACTCTCATTCTGTCGCCGGTTCAAACTGTCACGCTCAGCCGACTCCCAAAACGGCCGCTGTTTTCTGGGTCAACAGTTCGACATGATTTGTTTGCGCTGTTCAACATGTTCTAATGAGGCACCAACACGCTGTCTTTCTCCGTCCATACATGACAGCATAAAGGAAGGAATTTATGAGAGGCATTAAGCGTGACCGATTGCGTCCGAAAATGATACCAGTTTCATTTAAACGACGCAAAATCGGGCGCACGTGTCTATCAAAACAGGATGCATGAAAAAGTCTCAAGGACCGATGCCTAGAAATTGAATAGGTTGAAAGATGGACTTTAAAAAAAAAACTTTCGGCCCAAATGTGCCCTATCAAGCATCTATCCTAGACAGATGCATGATGCGAAATAGCAAAAAAAATTTTTTGCCCACCACATTTAATGTGGGAGGAGGACTTACACTAAAGTTGTAGAAGTGACCAAAACATGCCTAAAACTATGACAAAAGCATTTTCGTCTAAAAGTATGAAACTAAGATGGCTGCACAAAAAAAAGGACTGTACAACCCCCCCCCCCAAAAAAAAAAACAACACACCAAAAAACAAACCCCTTTCGTCGAATTGCAAAAAAAAAAAAGGCCTTAACACCCCCCCCCCCCAAAAAAAAAACAAGAAACCCACAAACCAATCACATTTGGGTCATAGAGACATTCCATCACAGCCGCGCGACTAACGTAGCAGCCATAACTAATGTTGGCTTGTTTACAGTGTTAAAGCTAGCTTGCGTAGTTGTGCTAGCGTTGCTTTTTTGTTGAAGCTGGATATGCATTCTTTGTGACTTTTTATCCTGACTGCGCACTTTCACAAATCGCATGGCATTAAGAATCGCGCTCGTGGCCGGATCCAACTGCGAGTCCTATTAAGGCAAATATCAATTTTAAAGTTACATTAAATTATAAGCAGCGGAAAGCATGGCGTATCAGAAGCAACACTTGGTTATTCATAATCATCTCAGATTCATGACACTGAAACACTGGTTAATGCTGGACAGAAGTACTTGGGCGCTACATAAAATATGAGTCCTTTACTTCATGTTAACGTCCAGTGGATAGTTAACTTGTAACTGTTGCATGAAGCCAAAGGAAGAGGTAAAACCCACGCAGTTAATAATTTGCTGCTGGCTGAAATGAGGTCCGCAGAGGGGTTTTGGTGATGTCAAACTCCAAACGGGTAACTTTTGGAACTCTCGACCCTTCTGTCACTTCCAGTTCCAGTTCCACAGCCCTAATACATGTTTAAATACCACAACACCCCCCGCAGAATATCACATGCAGCCGCATAAATTAATGCCCCCCCCTCACCCCCACAATGTTTACTGCACATGCAAACACTGACAAGCGACAGAAGCAGCTGGCAGTCATTCATTTTCAATGAAAGCCTCGGATAGCGTCCCGCGGCAGCCGCAGCAGAAGATGTGGGAAGAGATCTTTGCGTGTACACAACAGTGTTGCTTTCCGTGTTGACAGTGCAAGGGAACGCGATCACGGCGCTCCTCGCCTTCTCCCTGATCCCTACAACTTATGCCCTGTTTGTTCAGTGACATAAACCAAAATAACTCGGGAGGAGAGTGTCAGAAGCAGAAGGGATGTCTGGAAAGTGATTGGACACGCACCTGCGCCGCTATACCATTCAAACAAATACAAAGTACGAAACGTACAAGAACGACCTGAAGAAAATATGCTCTCCCTCAAAAGTATTGGAACGGTGAGATCAATTCCCTTTATTCTGAATTGATGTCAAAGACATCAAAAGATGAATATGAAATCATCCAGCCTGCTTTATTTGCAGCTATTTACACTTGGACTGCATACTCAACTAACAAGAAAGAACAATTTGTAATGAGACATTTTGATGTCAGCGAAAGCAATGAAACAGATTTATTGTTTTTAATCTTCGATACAGACTTAAAATAGATGAAAGTGAATGAGATTTCTTATTTTGGTGCAAATCCCTCGGTTGCAATAACTGCACCAAGGCTGTGTGAATCGGCCAACTTTTGCATTCTTCTTTTGTCATGCATGTCTTGACGGACTTTTAACGATAGCCTTTTGTCATTATTTTGTGATTCCATTCAAGCCACTCTTCAGTCATTAAAATGCATGCTCTATAGGGTTTAATTCTGGAGATTAACTCTGAGTACCACTGACATGAAATGCCGTCAAGGGGAATCCTAACGAGGAGCGCTGCCAAAGTCAATTGCCGTCAACTACGATTTATTATTTTTTTTAATTAATGGGAATGGGCGGTGAAAACTCTTGGCCAACTCTCATTTGATCTTTAAGCTGTGAAAATAAGAAAAAAATAAGTATGGCCACCAGATGGCAGCGTTGGCTCTCTTTTCATTGAGATCCCCAAGTAGCGGTGCGGTAGCGAAAATGCATACTCATATAGTTGAAATCTGGGGATCGGCTTGGGCAGTCCAAAACCTTCATTTGTGTTGTGGGTCATTTTCTTGCTGCATCCTGAAGGATTTGCCGATCAATTTGGTCGCATATTTCTATCACTTTGCAGACGAGGTTTCAGGAAACTTTGAGACTACATTTTGCTGCTTCTGTCATGTGGTACATCAATGAAGATTAGTGAGCCAGTCTGAGTCGGAGCTGTCCAAGCCCACAATATCCCCACTAAGGTTCACAGATGAGCTTCTAAGTTCGGAATGATGCAAAAATCTTTTTTTTTTTTTCCACCAGACTTGAGCCTTTCCAACTCTTATGTAAAGTTTGGATTCA